CCCCAGACCGCCTCGTAGCACGATTACTCGTAGTACGGGGCCTCGCTGCTCCCCTTTGGCCTTCCTGGCATGGTTGCACCTTGTGGAACGAAGTTCCAGCCAGTGTAGCCCGCGGGATCATTGCAGCACTCAAGCCCGACCACCATGTCAAGGTGGCAGCTTTAGGTCGGGTAGGGCGAAATGTATCCAGGTACCTTTGGACTGCTTTGTTCCCCCTGATTCAGCTTGGAACACCGCTCTGCCTCCATGCCGTTCAACAAACTGAAAGCCTCTGAAGGTTTCAATGGAGAACTCCATAAAGGTGATGAGTTTGTTAAATTGGAAAATGGTACTTGTGATCAATTGCTACTTCTAGGTGCAGAGGTTTTTCGCCGTGCGTGAAGGGATGCGCAGAGAATCTTATATAGACGATCGCACTAAAATCAGCTGCGCGCTATAACAGCGAGAGTGAGTGACGATTGAGTGAGGAAGTCTCGTCGGTCGACCGAGGATCTGCCGTACTAAATGGGTGTATTTGCCTACCACTGTCGCATCGTGCCCGGTTTCCATAAAGCATACGGCTCGTTAGAATAAGGGCACCTGGGTCGGAGCTCCACCCTTAGTGGTGCCTCAGTTGTCATCTAGTTAGCCAGTGGGTTCCAGCTGTCCTGCAACTAAAACTAAAAACGGGGCCAGATGGCCCAAGTGGTTAGAGCGCGAATTTACTGGCCGGAAGGTCCGTGGTTCGAACCCGACCTCCGCCTCTCAATCCCCCCTGTCTAGGCTTGGGCAACCTGGCAGTATCCCAGCCCTCGTGCGACTTTTGGGTGGCACGGCAGTTAGGCACCGAAAGGGTGTTACAGCCGAACGTACAACAACAACTAAAACCAAGGATGGAGATTGTGGAACTACTTGAAAGCTGCCTCGTTCTTACAGGATTCCTATCACATGAACTAACGCCGATTAAAATCCAACTCCTAGCTGATCCCTGAAATCGAACAGGTTAGTGATAATGATCGAATCATCGGCTTCTACAACAGTTCGGAAGCCACCCAGAGAAGTTATCCAGAAAGCCCGACGGATCGCCAGCACAATTTGCTGGATAGCAAAAGCACCATCAAGTTGAAATTCCATAATCAAAAATAATTTTTTCCACTCAATTAAACACGTTGTGAACTAAAAAACGAACAGATCAGAACGGGCTATGGTGTGGTAGCCCAGGGGGGTCATTTCACAGTGTCCACGGTACAAGAAAGAAATGCTAAAGGGTTGGTTTAGGCCGGAGAATCAATTTTCCCGAATTGTCACAAGTCATATTGTATTCCGCCAGAATGACACGACACCGATGCGCTATGATATTGGGTAGAATGACTTTTTTATGCGCGCCCATCAGAAACAGGGCGATCAGGCTGATGAGACTAATCACAAACTGTGGGTGATTTTGCAGTGAGCTGACGAATCCGAATTGATAGGTTTTTGGATCAACGAGCCAAAAATAGGCAGTGGTGAGGAAAGAAAGGGTGACGACAAAAAGGATGACGCGCCACAAACGAGCTTTCGGGCCCAAACCATTGATCACCTCACGTAGCCGACGTTCGAATGCTTTCAAATCTTCTGTAGGTTCGGTTGGGGTATAGTTGATGTGTTGCTGGAAAAGATCACCAGTAAAACGGCGTTAAACAAGTGGAGAGAAGAAAACAACTGAAGCCGTCAAGCACAGGAGTTCGACACTGGCTTATTGTTTAGGAACTACGACATAACATGATAACATGAGAAACATAGTCGGGTGCATAGTTTCATAGGAAATATTGGAAACACGAGAACTAAGTACTGTCAGGTTATTCAGGCCTATACAGAAGAAACCGATAAAGAATGTCCGTCCATCCACCTTTGGTGGATGCTGTCTAAACCTAGAGTTGTATGATGTAAAAAATTATCCTGCCAACGAGAAAGTCAAGCGATAGTTATTCACTCTGGCACGCCGAATGAGGGCCATGCGTGCGGAGTACAGCTGCACATCCAGGACAAAACACATTCTCTAGAGACAAACACGGTGTCTACTTATACATAC